CATATATTTACATCCTCGTCCATGTTTACTGGTGGATAGTAAGTTGTCTCATTGGCAATCCTACCACATATCCTTTGTCTCATAAAAATGCAACTAGATCATGCTCGGTGTATAACTTTGAAAAGAACGTACGGTACGGTGCATTCTCGTTGATGTGGGTAACAAATATACACGTAAGTATACAAAGTGTAGACAAGTGTAGCACGATCGGATAAGTCGTTTGGTTTTCCATTGCAGCGGCATCAATGTTCAGTTTATATATCTCCCAGTTGATACGATAATTTTGAGCCTAAGTTCCTTATCATGATTTCCTTGATGGCGTTTACCGTTTAAAATCACTTCGGACGCATGAAATTTATAAAGTTGTTTTCTTTTTTTTTTTTAATGTAGGTATTGAACCAAGGGTCCTCAATGGTAAAGTCATCGTTTCGTAAATTTCCGGACGCTATCATTTTTCAGTTAAACCGTAAAGGAATATACATTCCGCTTGTCGTATATCTGAAGACAAATAAGACATCCTCTTTTCATCGCTTGTTTCATAATCATAATGTAACTTGGTATCACCAGATGTAAATTTCCATCATTGACACGACGGGGACCCCTACTGGAGTAGAAACTATTTAACGTTTGCGAACACCTGACTTTGCCCTCATTTTATTGTTGGGTTCTTGCTGTCCAATCTGTGGAATCTTGTACAGTGTTTTATGAGCTGTTTTGTATTAATCTTTTTGTATTTATTCTTTTCCTTTTGACCTAATGGTTGTGTTTTGTATTTCCGCTTTGTTTCGTCTTATTCTTGCATATGACAATGTGAAATTTAATATGCAAAATCTGGATAGAGCTCATCATATTAAATAAGCAATTTTGTATTTGCCATAATCAACATTGACGTAAATTCTCCCTTTTGATTGCTATTGCCGAGAAGACTCGCCTTCACCCTATATATATATATATATATATATATATATATATATAGTGTATTTTGTCATGTTTTTTGTTATCATTCAATTTGCATGAGTTATGGGACTTTGACCAATTTGTTTGCCTACTGTGCGATAATTAAAGATACATATTCGTGGAGGAATCCAATGACTTGAAAATGAATATATATTACGATTTAGAGACTGAAATTTGGCGCCCAATATCTGGGTCGGCGATTTCAAAGTTTTCCTACTATAGTTAACTACGCTCTGACGTCCCACGTCTCAGCAAATCCTAAAAAGACCGTCAGACGTCAGAGCAATTTTGGCAGACATGACCACATGACCTATGGTTTATTTAGATATAACAAAACAACAAATGTTGGTAGTTTACATTCGTATTACGTATTGGTTGCCAATATTGAATTGTGTATATTAATTGATTCATCTATGTCATTTCGAGTTTACGTCTTCGCCAATGGCGGAAGATCGATGATTTTCTATGGATGTATACATATTCATTTTCTCGTCCATTTTCTCTTTTGCAGATATCTGTTTGAATAGCAATCATACTGTTTCTTTTCTTGAGTTTATTTATGTGCGCGTAGTGATTTCGAGCCATGAGTTGATACATCATATCCTTTTTTTTTTCATTCATTCTATGTCTTGTTGTTTTATACTGACAGAATATCAAATCATGCATATCAACTTTAAGCTGTTTTATGTGACAACATGTATCGATGTATACACGATAGGTACAAAATAACAAATAGAAACGGGTCTGAAATTGATTTTAAAACGGTTGGGTTCCTATTCTTTTAAATTTAGATACTTTTATGATCCTCAATTCCTGTTTTAAGTATAAAATACTAACAATGAATGCATACCGTTTGTGTATTTATACATCCGCACAGCCAAAGGACTACCGGTCGGACGTAGTCTGGTATCCATATTTATATTTCTAAGTCATACTTGTGTAGTGTTTGTAATAATTCCAAGTAGAAAGGTATCACTAGAGATGCGATTTATATTCATAACCACAAAATAAAACAGCAAATTTGTAAAAGTTTTCTTAACTTTTGTTTTTCTTTGAAAATATGTTATTCGTATAGCTGTGGAAATAATTTACCATAACAATTGTTCAATATATTCTATAAACTAGATATGGACGATGCCCCCCTTCTGCTCTGTCATATGCATGAGTATAGTTCTACATACTTTAGATTTGACAAACAGTGATGTTGAAGTACAACTTGAAATTGTTGTTCTGTCTGTAAGACACAAATGATGCCCCCGCCTGACCTTAAGAAATTATATATTTAACACTATGTATGATGATCTATCTTTTATTTTTTTATTCCGAATGTCTACACTTGCAGGACTGAATGTCCAGCCAAAAGGTTTCAACTTTCCAGTTTTAGTTGTCACCAAGTTCAACCGTCTATTTCCAGTGGTCACCAAGTTCAACTTCCTGGTATTGATTAAATATTTGACAATACTAAAAAATCTTATTTATTGCATTAGGGACATTAAACTGTAGTAGTAGAAACCATTTTCAATTGTATAGAAAGTGAGAAGAAAATGAAGTCCAACTATCGGTTTTTGTGAATAAAGCCGTAGCTCAAAAACTGTAGGAGGAGATAGCCGGACAAACCATGTACTAGTATCTTTATCCGTACGGACGAACGGACGGACGGTTGGTCAGGGTAAATTAATATACCCCTGGACATTTTGTCGCGGGGGTATAAAAATGGAATAAATTTAGACTTTTGAATTTTACTTCGCAAAGACAGATCATAATTACTTGGTTGACCGTTAAATATGGAATATTTTTGGCACAGCTGACCACGGATATGTTCCAATTATCGTAACCACAATCCTCGAGTGTTAGATCACCGAATGTGTACTTAAAATAAACAACAAGATGGGTGCTACTAGTGTAGCAGGATCTGCTTACCCTTCCGGAGCACCTAAGATTATCCCAAGCTTTTAGTGGGGTTCGTGTTGGTCTGTAGCCAGTCTTTAGTTTTCTATCTAGAGATTTGTTGACTTGTTTGTCCTTTTGTGTCGTCTTTTTTTTTTTTTTGCCATGGTGTTTTCAGTTTCTCTTCGATGTATGAGTTTTGAATGTCCCAATGGAATCTTCCACCTCTTTTTAATCACCAAATAGGCAAACGTGTATTAAGATCATGAACGGTGCATATAGAACGTACAGTCGATTCATTTCGTTGAAGATACACTATATTTACGCAGATACGCAAATACGCAAATATATACAATATGTAGGCCAGGGTAACACGGAACGGTCATTCAATAAACCCAAAGGGTTCACTGAGATATAAAAAGATGGACATCCTAGGATTTCTCTCGTCAGTCAGTTAAACATTTACTTAAGTGGGGCGTCCGTTTGGCGTTTCGGGATGTATAAATACTCAGTCACATTCGGCCAGAATAGGGATGTTGTATCCGATGTCTCGTGTTAGGTGAATGTCACGCCCTCTCACGCGAAAAGACTTTTTCAACAATTCTATGAGAGGTCCGCATGTGCACGTGGCAAGTTGCAAGGCATAATTTCTGCCTTCATCCAACATAACCTCATTTTGCAGTGGCAGTTAAGATTTCATGTCTGTTTTCCCTGTCGGCCTACCTTGTAGAACCTATCTATTGGGTTACTTCGTAATTATTAATTTGTTCTCGCCCTGAATATGCATGAAAATTTTGCCACTATAGACGCTAAGCAGACAACATTCAATCACTCAATCAATCAATCAATCTGTTCTGTAAGAACTTAAGATTTAGGTTCAAATTATTTATAATTATCTATCGAAATAAGTACTTATGATTTTCATTTTGCAAGTTATGATTTTCGATTTCGGCTTTCAATGCCAGCATTACAACTTCATAGATATTCGTGATAGATCAAAAGGTTATTTATAGTTGTGTTCAATTATAGTATTTCCTGTTGTGTCATTAGATATACAATCATATTGTGTCTGGAGTGGAGATAAGGTTCTAATCCTTAATTAAAGAATAGCTCGAGGTGGTTCAAGAAACTTATATATTTTTGTTATAAGAATAAATAATTTATTTTTTCTCAACAGCTAGCGGTCCGTGTAATATTACTTTTGCCACTTTCATTTATAAATGAAGTGTCTAAAGCGACATTATCGTTCTTTTCAGTGAATCTCTTATTTGACGTTTTTACAGTGTAGTTGACCATTTACACTATATAGCCATTTTGATTTGACAAATTTAAAGCTGGAGTAATGGGACTTTGATCCTTTTCGGATTTTATATGGCAGTATAATGTCAATTAGTGAATTTTATTTGTTTTCTGAGGTTAAATGACACTGATAAACTTTTTTTCAAACAGCTTAAATTTCAAATTTCCTAGAATTGTGGATCCTCCTCTATAGTTGATCATATTATATAAGCCATTTTGAGTTGGTGATTTTGCAGGAATTATTGGATTTTTTTTTATAGTTATATTTTTTGTGTGCTGGAACCAGGTGAATGATTTGTTGTGAAGACTTGTTTTATGGGTGTACTGGTTCATATTCTGGTATTAAATACAAGGTACCACAATACCATACATTTTTATTATAAGCGTCTGTTCTTGTTCCACAAATTACTCTTGAATCGATTACATTGCACTTCTACAAAGTTGCTCAGAGGGGGCCTTTCCCTACTGTATAGCAAACGTGTATAACCGATGAAGGATTGATCGATTAGTTGTTGTTGTTTAACGCTACATTCAGCACTGTTTCGTGGCGGCCAGTTTTTTATTGGTGGAGCAGACATATATATGTGTATATATGTCTCTGGTGGAGGAAGCCAGAGTGCCCGAAGAAAACCACCGACCTTCGGTAGGAAAACTGACAATCCTAGTCAAATTAAGATTGGAGTCGAAAGCACCTGCCACGTGCGGGACTCTAATTCACAACCTCAGTGTTGACAGGCTAGTGATACAATAGTTGAATTACTTAGACCACTCGGCCACCAAGGCCCCTACCGATGAGGGATATTCTACAGCTAAGCGTTGTCTCATAAAAATAAGGCATTACTAGATATAAATTCATATAAAAAATCAAAACAATTTATTTTGGTTAAAATCAAATTAATATTAATTTACATATCTCAGCAACAAAAAATATTGTTTAAAAACAATCTTATAATATAAATAACACATTTATACTCTCTGTTGCTCAAATAACATTTATATCATCCAGACATTTTAATTGTTGTTGCATAAATTGAAGCTATGTGATATAATATTGTTTCCTGTTATATAATGATATACAATGATATGTTTTACTTTAAAACAGACCTGGACGGTTTTTTTAATCGTTATTTTCAAACATAAGATTTTATAGAATCTCTTTACAAGCTATGCAAATGATTCTAACAGTTTTTCTACAAATGCTTTGTTCTGGTATGTATCTAGAAATATTTTCTAGTATAATGATAATGAAACAGTAATAATGTATTTGTTTACGATATGAAAAATATGACTTGGTCCCTTGTATTATGAAAATGTCATACGAAACATTTGCTTATAAGTATGAAATGGAATAAAATATAAACAAGACCCAACATAATGTACAGAGTTTTCAGTTCTAACATATGTGTACATGACTCAAAACCTGCACATGCACTTGTGAGAGTCAGAAATGATTATGATTTCGTTTTATAATAAATTAACAATAATATGCAATTATACTCAATGACACAGAGTATAAAGCAAAGTAAGTAAATCAATCAATCAAAAATCATAAACTAGCTCCCCTTATTAATGCCATACTGAGACACTGGTCATGTTTTTCATAGGTAAATCAGAAATTTCCCCCTCATATTAGGTACTGAAGGTTACCTAGAAATCAGCCTCACTTTATGGGGCCAGCATAGAGTAATGTCCGCCATGATCTTTAATACTTGAAATGATATAGGAAAAATAAAACTATTCCTTCGTTTTTCACATTTTGCTGATTTTGGTTGACAGCAGATTTTTAAGAGTTTATATTATAGTCTGTTTGATAATTTATTGATAATAATTTCAAAGAATGACATTAAAAATAAAGTATTTGATATCAAAACCTACGATAGAATAACAGATCTTACACAAATTGGATATTACCTTACAAACATCTACTTAAATATTTAACACGGTAAAATAATATAGACCAGAAATTAATACTGGTAAGCTTAGAAACACATTCACGTGTGTTATATGTCAAAATAGAGTCTTGAAAGAATCAGTCTGTATGCATATATATATGATATCTTCAATTTAAAATGAAATAAAAACATCTTCATTTTTATTAAGTTTCACTTATTCAAACATGCATGTTAACGTTATTACATAATAATTTAATTTTGGATGTAACACGTCTTCTGATTGGCTGAAAGTGTTTTGTACATCAGCTCATAGACATAATTTTGTCATGTGACCGTGACGTCATCAACGTTTTTATCATGATTTACTCCTTTTTAGAATTAAATTATAAGGAATGACTGTAATATTTTTTCTGTCTATTCGAAATAACCTAAAAAATGTGGTGCACACTTTTAAATAACCTGCTACGCGGGTTATTTAGTGTGCACCACATTTTTGATGTTATTTCTTCATAGACAGAAAAAATATTACGGTCATTCCTTAATGAAAAATCTCACACTTAACGCGGATAATATATTTCAATTTTGCACGGTTGCTGGTTGATATTTTATTTTCGAATTAAAATCATTTGAGAAAATATATGTAGCTACTGACATATAATTATCAAAGTGTTATTAATTGTGATTCATGACACATACCCTTGTAAAAGTTGATTTATTTGTTCATTTTAACACTGAATTGCTCATTATAGTTCTTAAATCCCTGTAAGTGACTGATTTAAGTATGGAGTTCAAACATCACTAAAGATGATAGGCGTTACTATCCCTCCCATTTACTCTGTGGCTTTAGACCTTGGACATTAAAACATATGTTAGTTAGTACACAAGTTTTCACAGTATGTCACTTCAAAGATCTATTCTCGATAGGTGACTCTGGTGTATTGTCTAGACAAAGGGTCTTTATTACAGATTAAAGCAACTAATTTATAATTCAGAACTATACAATGGTACTTAGAGGATGAAAAAAGTACCAAAACCTGTTTAAAATAGTTTTGATTTTGTTTCAAAGTATTCTGTTAACAACAGTGAAACTTAAATATTTGTAAATTTGAAGTGGGAGTTTCAAATATCAATAAGCTTAATTAGTCAAATACTCAAAGTCATCTACTTTAAGGTTATTTTAATAATATTTAGCTTCATTAAACATTAAATTTTATAAGATTTTTTTCTTCATTTTTTTTTTATAATTATAACATCAAAACAAAGAAATGTAGGTTAGGCGCCATGTAGTTGAAGCTTAACCACCTAATGCATTGTATCAGAAGTAATTTAACAGATATAATTAAAAAAAGCATTTAGGGCAGTTGTAATCACGATGTTGTCAATAATTCAGAAAGGAATGACTGTATCCTTATTGGAAACCAATTGGCCATGGAAACCATTAATAATAGAAATTACAAACATCAAAGGTAACTTAGACCATATGGGAGAAAATACATTTCTTTTCAATTAATAGATTTTCGCACCATGAAGAAATGTTGATTTTTTTCCTCTTTTTGTTAACACAAATCTTTAGCTTGTGAAAAAGATTGAGTAGTATTTTATGTGTTGTGTATATATGACAAGTATTTATAATTAAACAAGTGCCTCTGCCAATAAGTTACGAATAAATATGTATAGATATGCTGCTGACTTTTCAGGGTAGAATCATTGAGTTTTTTGGTTTATGGTTTTCAGTTATTGTAAAATGTACATTGTGATGACCCCTTTTAGTATAGACCTTCCAGACATTATCAACAATTAAGGTACAATGCATGTACATCTAAGGCATGTGTGCTCGATTATTCCTCGTCTTGTAAAAAACTTGAGACCATACGACAAGACAAGAAATACACTTTATGTATACGTTTGGTTCAGTACTATTTTGTGTCGTTGGGTTGTCTCCTTTTATTCATTAGAAACGGTACCTTTCGTTTTGGTATTCACTAAAAGAACGGATTTACGCCATTTCCCTTTTCCTTTAATCAATTTATGATTTGATTGATGTTACAATTTTTAATTAGTACAACAAAAAGTAAAATAACAAAAATACCGAACTCCAAGAAAATTCAAAACGGAAAGTCCCTTATCAAATGGCAAAATTAAACAGAAAGTGCCGCGAAGGAATTATTACCGAAAAATTGAAGTTCTAAGTAACCTTGTATACAACTTAAAAGTAGAACTAATGAGACAACAACTTGGTTATTTCAGTCTAAACAAATATTGTTGTCTAAGCAACAATCCATAAAAAGATTATTTTACAATTATAAAGGTGCATGACAATGCAGTTTACTTGTACAAAATATCAAAACTTTATGAACCGTAAACTAACAAAAAAGTGTTAGATTTAATACATGCTCTGTTAAACTAGAGTATGATTTGATAATACTTTAAAATGCATGAATATGTTTTAATGTTCTCTAATTGTTATCAAAAACTTATTACTACAGGACAAACAAATAAAAATTTAGTATTTTCACATGACACATGAATAATAAGTAAGGTATTATTACATCCATGAAGTTTGCTTGACATTCTATCGTTGTAGGATTTTCAGGATCAAACAGATAATATGATAAGTGAGAGAAAAGATGAATATTTCATCGCATTTGATGCACTTTACTGGTATCTTTAACAAATACTCTAACTAATTTGTGTCCCAATAGTTCCATCCAATATAGATGAAAGACTTCAGTTGACAAATTTTATGGAATTATAAAATGGAAAAATAAATATTTAATTGCACTTGGTCCAGTTTATGGTATATTTCAACAGAAATATAGTTTTATAATTATATCAATGCAAGTGGGTGTAAACTCTTTTGTCTTATTTAATAATTTCACTCTCTTTCCCTCAGAATTGAAATGACGTACAGATTTTTTTCTTCACGATGTATATTCAATTATATTCCATGCAGCTTCTGGCAGCAGCTTAGTTTTACAGTTCCATACAGATGTAAATGATTTTTTAAAGGTGTATTACACCTGTGCAATATGGCACAGCTTCTATTCGGAATAATGTCATTCGGATGATATTTCTGGTTTACGTCATATAGTTTCCTGCAAGGCATGATAATAATATGGCACGATATCTTCTATGAGGATTTCCTGAGATACAACGTGAGACAATTTGGCACTGGATACTTATATCTGTATAAGAAGAAAAAAACAAATAAAAATATACTTCCTTAACATGCATGTTTATTTCCTATAATTGATTTTTTATAAAGAGTTATATAAAATTATGTCTAAAAATACCATTGCAATGTCAGCTCTAAATATTACTATTGTCTCCTCGCTCTCACAGCAGGAAAAACAAGTTTCTGTATTGTCCGTATATATATATATATATATATATAACAAGTTTCTGTATTGTCCGTATATATATATATATATATATATATATACATATTGTGGTAGATTTCCAATCGAGCTGAATGGTAATAGAACGTCTATCAATCAATCATAGACAATAGGAACTCGTTCCATATTATCGTCGGATAGAATGGTGAGTTCCATCTTCTCGTCGGAGAGAATGGTGAGTTCCATCTTGCCCTTGAAGACCACCCATGTTGTTCGGTAACCAGTATATAACATTTTACAATAATAACATTAATCGTACATATTTTTATGCACAAGATGCGCATTTCGACAAGTAATGTCTCTTCAGTGATGCTCGAGGCCAAAATATTTGAAAATCCGAAACCTATATGCTAATAGAAACGTTACAATAAGTATTTCAACCGCGGTGTTTTGAACAAAATTACCATATTTTCTAAGGCAGGGGGACAGAGGATATTGAATTGCCCCTCCCATACTAACTATTGAAGATTGTTGAACGACACCTTATTTCATATTGGGTTAGTCTCAACAGTATAGTTTAATGGTCCGAATGTTTACCTGCGATCGTAGTATTATTCCGTTTTACTACACACACCTTATTACATGTACCGACTATCGGTACGACAGATGCGATCAGAAAAGCAAACAAATGTATGATGTACTCTATAGCCAAAACAATTGCTTTAAATAGCAATCATGAAGACAGAGCCTAGTTCAACTACCGTACTGATAGCCAGTGATAGGGTATTATAAATCAAAAACAAGAAATGGTGAATATTTTGAAATGCAAAGGCATCTTTATGATCTTAATCTTTACCTGCACTTTTATCGTTGTGTTAATAGTTAGTTTAGTTTTGTAAAATGTTATATATAAGAACTAACAAATGCACATAAGGAAATTTTAAATAATTTTTAGACAAACATTGAGAACACCACAGAAAGGGTCGGCTTTCATAAAAAAATATGTTGTGTATGATGTATAACTGTCGGTTGAATGTTTTTCCTATTCGATGCCAAGTGACACGAAACACTATATTTTCCAAGGACTTCGTATTTTTTTATTATTTAAGTAACAGACAAAATAAACCGTAAACTCCCATCTTTTATATCAAAAACTACTTTAATTTCATTTAATATAAAATTTAACAATTATAAATATCTAATCAATGTTATAAAATATTCCTTAGTCATTATTAAAGTTGGAGGTTAAAATTTAATATGTAAACTTAAAAGAATAAATCATTAAAGTTCATAAACATTCCAAACCAAACGACTCCTTTACTGGGGGAGTATAATAAGGGGAGGTAATGGCGTGAAACTTAACAAAGTATGGATAGGATCAGTAGACGATTGATCAGTCATCATAAAAACGAGAAATTCACTAGTTTCTTTTGATCAGACAACTGTTAATGTGGAACACATCCTTTATCACATTTGTAATGAAAACTTTAACTTTCTATGATTAAATTTGTTTATCTCAGATTTTAAAATGTTTAAATATTAAATAGTTCTATATTTCACATAAAAGGTGAGTAAATTTAAATCAGATAAAACGAAGGTTTAAACGTTATAAAAGTATTTGGAGACTGTTATCTGCTAATAAAGTAGATAAATCTACAGTCTTTTCCTTTTTAATCTTTACAGGGGTCTTTAAATCATCACAAAATAGGTGTTTTGCACTGGATTAAAAAAATTTTTTTTTTATAAAAATACAATATATAATTAATGGCGGCTGAGATGGCATAAAATTAGTTCCCATGATACATATTGGCAATTAGATTCGTCGTAACTTCATAGAATGTTCCATGTGCTCAAACTGTCACTTTTTAGGGATGCAACCTTTTCATATTTTAATTAGTCACCATTTCTTTTATTTCGTCGATATTTTTTATTTAATTTAATGTTTTTACCAGAAATTTCTTCCAGGTAGTTTGGAGGTATGCGTCATCCTGATATTTTACATTTCGGTGCATAAGCTTAGGTTATGAGTTGGATTCACATTTAAATGAATGTGTTTCATAAGATTTTACTTTTTGTACAAATCCGACAAATTTTGGTTATCATATAAGGGGATATCACTCAGATTATTTAATTTTATAATAGATTGTATGGTGAATTTAGTTTGTAACTTAGCATTAAAACGAGTAAGGTGGTTTGTGTTTTTTCTCTTAATTTGCTGACTGCGTTTCATACAAGCTATTTTTTGTGTATGATGTTAAAATTGTGTTACTTACTCTCTCTTTCTATCCTTTAAATAGTTTTTTTTAATGTACATCATCCTTACAAAATAGGATAATTGTGCATTGCCTATATCTTTAAATAACGCACATATGATGTAGGGACGTTATAAAATGCTTAAAACCATTTTTGAATAAATATCTACAATATTTTGTTGATACTCGAGGGGCCTGATGGGGGGGGGTCTCATCACGATTCACGAGTTGATTTTTTTGTCAATCACGATTCACAGAAAATAAATTTCCATGATCACGGATCACGAAAATATAAAAATAAAAATAAATCTGTAGAAAAACGGATCACGATAGCGAAAATGCGCCGATCACGAAGAACGAAAATAACCCATCAGGCCCCTCATACTCCACTACTACGTAAAATCCCGGCTGCAAAAAGCTGGATAAGAAAAATGTTTGCAATACATACCTAACAAGTAGACACATTTGTTATACAACACAATCTTGTGGTGGATTAAAATCTAAATCTAGCTCCTGATCATCCACTACGTAACTTCCGGAAGTAGTTGTGTCATCATCATAGTCATCGATTGTTGCCATGCTTCCGTTTAAAACGTTACTTATAGGATTCCAATGCACATTGTTTTTATATGGCGGCCCACTACTGCCACCGTGAGTATACTGTCTATGGCAATTATTTTGAACGAGATATTGTTGATTTTGAGATCTATATCGTTCTTTTGGATGCATAAGTTTGTTCATATTTTCTTTTGTTAATAAAGGCCGCCCTGGTGAATTCACTGGTGAATATCTGTTTTTCATATAATCTGAAAAAGTATTGATAAAAATTGAATTCTGAAATACTATTGATGAAATTGTGCAGTTTTAACAAATATGGATTCCATTTATACAGTTACATAGACACTTTATTTGACTGAAATTAAGTTTTCTTACTATGTTTTAATATGGGTTTTAGAAAACTAATAACAGATATAGGCGTGACAGATTTTATGTTAGTACTGTTTATATCCTTCTGTTATCCCACATATTTCAAAGCCTTTGTTTACAAATCTTAAAGTTAAATTCCAAAATTATTAAGACCATTTGAATGAAAACTATAAGAAAAATCAAAGTCAAATCAAGCAAAAATTATAGTCATTTTCTAATGGAAAGGTTTACATTAATACCGGCATATAATCTTGTAAATTTTAATGTTCTTCAACAGAAAATCAATAAAAGTGAACTAGAAGTAGTGTAATACTGTCATTCCACCGTAAAGTAGTGGAATGGTTTTTCTTTTTACTTAACCAGTCTCTATAGATAATTGTTCTGATTAAGAACTTATTTCCAAAATAGATTAAAACATCAATATCAACACCATTATTATTTTTGAAGTGAAAGGAAACAATTATACAACTTGAACTTTTCATCTGTACTACTGTACAATAAGATTAAAGGATCAAATTCATGATCTATTATCTATAATGCACTTCCATAATATTAAGTTGTTGTCCTCCATCAGATACATATAATACAATATGTGTTATTTGCATATGGTTCCATGCACGACATACATCGATTACGATGAAATCATAAAAGATGAATGGGGTAATTTTCGCCATACCAACTTACCATGAGCCAACAAATATTTCTTCTATTTGCTTGAAATGCACATTGAATCTGTTTTACTAGAAAAAAAACTCATAAAAGCGGACACAAGCATTTGTTTTTATTCTCGTCATGCAAGTTGCTAGATTACTCTTAAATGGGTGTTAAATTCATAAATAGGGACATTGCCTAATATTTTGTATAATGAATTATCCCTAAGTGTATTTGTTTTACTTTCTGTGTCAGTCAACCTTACCTAATTCGGCACTGTGGTTAAATCCGCTACTGTGTATGTCGCTTTCACTCCCTCCTCTTCCACTGTCATTCGTTTCTCCTGACGTTTCACTATGGTTATCTTCATGTTTCCTCCCCAAATTCTACAAAATATATTTTAGGTTATATTATCTGTCTTTTATAATACAAATAAGAATGTGTTTGACGAATTGTTTTGACAGATAATCTACGTATTCTCATTTTCCCTAAGTAGCATCGATGATGGGACCACGAATATAATATCGGGCCGAATCTACTTGAAATGTTTTGGAATTGCTAGTTTAAATCATAGATATGATAGTATTCGTGTGGAAAAACAATCTTATTAAAATATAGATCTCTGATTTGCGATATTGCGCATAAGAGTTAGCGAGTTACGATAGATCTGAGTTATACTCAGATGGATTGAAAAACTCCTTTTTATGGTAAAATTAGTAAGAGCACTCTAGCACATCTAACATTTATACTAGGGAAGTTATCCTGGAATCACATTACCTGTGGAATCGACAATGTCTGAAGGTTACTTTGATGATGTTGCAGTCTACTCATTTGCATATTCTGTAAAGACTGGCTTGATTGGCTTTTATTCTTTCCGGGATAAGCAGACCGACCATAGTTTGAAGATTGAGGAGATGGCGCCATCACTCGGTCAACAGTCTGAAAAAAATTAAAATAAATTATTACTTAGTCTCCGAAAAAAAGTTGTTATAGGAAATTAGGAACTTAATGTGACCTTGAATAAAACTGGTGACAATGTGAAATTTTTTCTCATAGAAAACATGACAGAGGCCTCTATCTGACGAAGGACATGGGCAATATTTTATCTTAGTAGGGGAACAAATATGTCTAACATTCGACATTTTTCTATAAAATTACTGTCCAAATATTGACATTATATAAATCTAGAATTGTGAAATCTTAAGATGAAACAAATTATCATTCAGATTAACTGTCACTATCTTTTTCCAAACATTATTGTCTTAAGTTTGATTTATTATAATGAGAAAATAGGAGTCTTTTTATGGGATTTTGATGGTGGTACTCAATATTTGTTTTATCTTATTGAGTAAACAATTTATCCGTGTCATTTTCTTTTAAGATATCGACAGGTTAAATCCTTTAATTGAGAACCTGACAAGGATTAAGAGAAAAATGTTGATTTATAACCTCAAGTTCGGGATAATAGGTACGAGAGTGAACTGAAGTACTCTTTAAGCGAAATGGGGAAATCCATTGCATGCAAGTTTATGCTAGACATTTTCTCTGTGATAAATTGTTAAGAAAAATTGAAAAAAAGAATTTCAGATTTTGCTTCATTATTTGTCGTTCTTTTCTTGTTTGGACTTTCTTATGTATCGACCTTCGAACCAGTACACTTCACATAAAATATAAGATTTGCACAAATTTTCAAAAATTAAATTAAACTTGAAAACCAATGCCAATATTCTGTGATCGACTACTAGTATAGTTAAAATCAAACTCCATATTTGTTTTATAGGTTTTCGATGTCTTCAAATTTCAAGCCATTTTTTTCAAAGCTGTATTTATTTGAATATGAATGCGTGCCTCGATACAACTTAATAGTTTTTATGTTTGTCCTTATCTACAGACACCTAAAATGCAATTATGTCAAAACATTTATGAAAGAAGTGACGACACAAACAAAAAAGACTCAAATTTCTTCATTTTTAATTAGCAAAAATTTAAATTAAGTTTCGGGCTACCTTGCCTTCAAATTTCATTCCTTTTTGTACCAGAAAAATATTGATTAAGTAATCATGTAAACTGAGAAAACACGGAATCGATCCACTCCGGGATATTTTTATAAGTAAAGATGTCACAACAATGGGGATAAGACTGTTTTCTTTAAAAGGGAGATAAGTCGGTGAAATCTTCCTTGTCCTCGGGTCAGACACATGTAACTTTGTCAATTTCCCATTGTAACAAGGACGTAACAGCTTGGATCACAGTTAATATCGTCACAAGCAGTGACACTCTTAGATTGTCTGCAGATTATATGCTAGTTTTCACTTTTAATCTTACATCTTTTTTCATGTCGATTGAAGACAAATTATTTCGTTCTATCTCGGAGTCAAAGGGCTGGCAAGTATAGGGATTTCAAAATATCAAAATAGTAATTAAAGGCAAGATCAAAACAAACTTTAGAAAATAAACCATTCAAAACAGTTGTATTTCTCGCTCTCGGTAAATGCAATGTTTCCATTAAATAACCGACACTTGATTTCGTTAGGTTGTTGTATCATGGACGTATACCAATTCTAATTTGATGAAATTGTATCTGCTTATATGAGATAAATCTTACAGTCGCTTATAATATACTTGTTTCATTTGTTTTATGTATTTCTGGATAGTATAGACGTACTTCTATGCATTATTGATGTTAGTTTTTTTAATAAAGAACGGTCGAATAATCAAAGAGTTTCACACATTTCCCATATGACACTGCAAGTATTTAATTTAAATTTGTTTGAGAATAGTTAACACTTCATCTTCTACTAACACGACATTTTTCATCATAGACTATTTTCATTCATCCATAAAAGTCGTAATATATTTTGCTTTGTAAACCAGGTTTCATTGTGTCAAAGTCATAAAATTATAAAGCTTCATTTATATTAAACTAAATAGTGACTTTAATGTCAAAGAAAACGTTAACAAATCATGTTCTTTCATGCGGTCACATTGACTTCTAATTGATGATAGATTAACAAAATTTCTGTGCGAAATTCCGTTCTTGAAGACTTCAATATTGAACAGATCTCTTTGAACTTTCGGTTAAATATAACTGTACTACTGTATATGTACATATAACATTAATAAAACATTTAATTTATTTTTTTGTTGTTTTTTGCTTTGTTGTTAATAATGACGTGAAAACATGACTGATATTTTCATATCTAACCCAAACTTTGTGATGACTGATTTTCAATGACAAACATTCAGGTTGAAAATTTAATTTTCACGATTTTTATCAATGGTAAACGGATACGAATTTTTTATTTGAAAAATTTCAATTCTAATATGGATAAACCGTATTGTCAAAAACATGGTAGTTTTATAGTCAACATAGTACTTCCATGGAAAGAGTAATTTACAGAAACTATTTCCCAAAAAAAAACATGTTCTAGGACGTCCCATCTTCCAAAGCTAATTTTTCAAATATACACATTAGGAAAATTGCCACGTTATTCTGTTTTGAGAGATATTGGACAGACTTATTTAAACAATTCGTAAAACAATATCCATATTAGAAAAACATTTCGTGTCCGGAAAGAAAAGATCCGGTATAAAATTAATATATTTAACTAATAATAAAACCCTTTGGCGCTAATTATATGTTAATATTTCCGATGTAAGGCTTTGATGTATAGGATCATTATGTCTGTTTGCTATTCATCTGGCTGACTTTCTTTGATTTTTTCATCAATTTCACGAGAAAAAGAATACATTTACTGGGATTTCTTTTTTATCGATTTGTTCTAATCTAAACTTGCATGATGGCAAACAAAAACCTATCGAATAACAATAAAACAGCAAGGACGTAGCGTACTTTAAATTTAATGTTTTATGGTATAATTTGAATGGTTTGTTGACAAGACACTAAAAGTTCAACACATTATGGTAATTTTCTTCACTTAAAACTTGTTCATATTTCCTGTATAAATTTCCTAAATGAACACTTCATATCAGTTTAAAAGAGTCCATAAAAATTATGTCCACTGCAAATAATAGCACGCAACTCTCGAAATACTAATCGGGGTGTGTAAAAAGTAGAACAAAATAACTTTCGGGTTACAAGTATTTTTAAAAACAAAATAGGTCACGCTCAAATTTTAGTCTTTGGCATTTGTTTTTACCTCCAAGGTTTAAGCCACAACATTAGTTTTTGCGTTTTATTGGACGTAACGTTTTATTGGACGTAACGTTTTATTGGACGTAACGTTTTATTGGACGTAACGAGAGTATTCTGTTCCATGTCTATAGAAACATTTGATAGTGTGTGGAGAAAAAAAATAACCAAAGAATATATACTATTAAACTATAGAAGTATCCTCATAAGGCTTTTTTTTTTTGCAGTGTGCACTGGTTTATTATCTCACCTTTTATTAACATTATATCCAAATCCAAAACCTTATATAACAATAAGATAAAGATAATTCTATTCCGTTTTCAATCAAATAAAAAAGGATAAACCAAACTATGATGCAACAGAACACGTTCATGCCACCCAAACCCCGAACATTTCTGTAAATTACAAAACAATGTGTATCATGCAGGAAATTGTAAAATAAACGTGGTGGGGAATAACATGTGATGTGGAAGTAAAGGTCACTTAGACGGCAACCCAATAACACAGTGATACGGGAGTCAAGGTCATTCATACAGCAACCCAATAACACAGGGCAACATACAATGAACATATGCACTGCATTACCACAACTTACAAGTTTCTCGTGAAGTCCCCTAGAGAAAATATCTAATAAAATAACATTGGCCGACAAGAAAAACAATACTTCAAATTGTACGTCATCGTGAGCAGGCATTACTCATCAACGATCCGAAACTAGACCATTGCTTTCGTGATAATTGGATCTCTATGTTGTGGAACACAATAAAAACAAACAATAAAACAGACTAATTAACAATATTGAATTCAGTACGAATAATTGTAAATGTTTCAGTTAAAAACCTTTCTGCCGATTATGATATTGCATTGTTAATTCAAAACTATATGTATACATGAAGGCGAACAGGTAATGCCATCTGATTTATAGAAGAAAAATGGCATAAATTGCTTTAATAAATCAGAACTGAAAAGAGCTAATGTTTAAAATGGGTTTTTTATATCCGTTTTATTTACATTGCCTCTGTTAAAGCTTATTGTTACTACGATGTTAGTCATAAAGCAAGTGAAAGGTGGACCAGCCATTTTTGATATAATAATTATATAGGGGTCTGACTTTCAGTTAACCAATAAAAATAAAGAAAATACAATGACCTTCTTCTACTTAAGACAAAAAAAAATTCACACCGTATAAAAATAAAAAGATTTGGTTTGATTGCCAATGAGACAATTCTACACCAGAGACCAGGTTTCAAAAGGAAAATCAAGCAGATTGGTGTACACTTCTAGAATAATGTGTTTCTTGGCATGTTGTGAAATCACTGATTGCATACAAAAAAAATGTAATCTCTGAATTATCAAATATAAACACGAGAATTGGTTTCATTGCAGCGATACTATGGACATCAGTCTTAAATAGATCTCGATGGTATACTTCATTTACTCTAATCTTTTGATCTAGAAACCAGAATTCAAACGCTTAGTAAGGACCGTGATAGAGGCTCGATAAAGGATTTTATAAACTGGTTGTGAAGGGTATTAGTGGTTATATGTGTACATGTGGTTATAAGCATTGTTAGCACCACAAACTCCCACTACGTACCTCTCACAAGCAGCAATATTCATGTCCTTACACCTGAAATTGGAAACATTAATGGGAAGAGTAAAAAAAATAAACTTTTGTTATTATAATTAATTTTCGTAAACAAAATCAGGTTTCTTTTTATAACAAATGAAATAGCTTGGAGGTTGGTGAAACAGGAAGTTACGTAAGTAAAATCTGAAATAAAGAACGGATTATATCCGTTTTAACATGTCAGATATGTGTGACCTCTGGTTTCTTATTCTAGATTATATGAAATCATTCTGTTGCTAATTTTCATTGTTGTTATAGTTTAACGATTCAAGGAAGCGATCTACAGAATAATGAATTATAAAATGAAAAAAATGTTTGAAGCATGTTGATCCATAATTGTTTACAAGTTAAATATTGAACAGTTTCCCAAAGAATCTAGTGTAAATACTATGTAAAGAATAAGAAGATATTTCAAATATATCCCAAGTTGTTAAACAAAGTTTAACAAAAGAATTGTACAAATAAAAAATTTAAATTATATTTAAAATTTCAGTTCAGTAAGAGAAATCTGTCAATAAATAATCATGTATTTTAAGCTTTGCTCAAACAAACAGGTTCGTGAGAGAGACATTGCTTATTCATCCATCCACTATAGACAGCATTTACTTAGCTTAAACATTGTTCAATAATATCAATAGATTTTTTAATTCTTAACAGAATTTTAATAATTAACCATTTGGGATAAAAGACATTTTTGAAATCATTTAAAATAATTTTTTAATTTGGTTCTTATTACGAATGACATAACTTTGAACTTAAACTGTAAAACTGGCTTTATTCTACAGTGAAATTTCAAAAATGTTTGCCACTTGTGAAACAAAAATTCTGTCAGCACGAATACAGTTCAAAACCTATCCTGCAATACAGTTTTAAAAATTAAGAATTTCAAATTTGAGTTTTTAAATGTGATATAATTGACCAAGAGTAATTGGTCATAATAGCCTCTATTAGCCCTAGACACTCAAGGGTAAAAAGTAGACCAGAAATTATAATAAGAGAAAATTATTTTTCTTTATAATTATTCAGCTCTTTTGTGGTATAAAGACGTTTTCAAGTATGTCTTTTATTATATCATGGGTAAATGAATATAAGAGAAGACTCTTGAGAAGGCCTAGTTGAAACAGTTTAACAAAATTACCTAAAAATATTTAAATTCATATCATATCGGTTGCTATTACTATGGTGTGATTTATTATGGTTTGTAAATCATTAAATAATTACTGGATAGAAATATTTTAATGTTTGACCAAAAATGTAGGTGTGCTGAACATTTTTTTTTTTGCTTAATTACTACCAATCGTTTTACTACGAGAAACTCATCCAGTCAACAGTATCGCTATAACAATCTAGGTGTATGTTAAAAATTATACTTGCTTCAATATAATTTTGCGAACTTATAGATACAACTTGTTTACAAACTACAAGATAACATTGCATCCTAATCATTTAACAATTGTGGCTAATTGCTAATGGAAAAATTTTTTTATAATCACTTATTTCCTGCATTCAAATCAGATAAACTGCTCGTGAAATGCCGAAAGGTGTAGAGAAGATTGTTATCTGGTCAACAATAGTAAATGTACATGTGTGACACATGTCGTATCTGCAAAAAAGTGTCATGTGTCATCCAAAAAACAACAAATTAGTAAAAAAAACAAGGAATGCTGCATTTTACATACAGATATAATTCTTATCAAACAAAAACGTATTTGTTTTTATTTGGTTTTTTCTATTTAAAAAAGTTGACCTTTGTTTATTTCGCTCGACTGACATGAAAACAATCGTTTTCCCTTATCGGACAAATGACTAATTATCTCAAATCTGATTGGTTTCTGATAATATTTTTTTTTGCGCTGAAAGTGACAGTAGTTTTAAAATCAAGACTAGAAACCGTTTTTCCACTAGAATCTTAAAAAAAGATCTGAATTTTATCAGATTTTAACGAGTACAAGTCAATTATAAGCACAAAAAGGGCGTGAACTTAAAAAGATCGACAAGGTCAATATATATTTATGTATATTTGTTCTTAGTACCTAGCAAATCGTGCCACAGTTGCAACCTACAGTTGTAATAGGTTATCCACATTGTTCCCAAACTTTAATTTGCCTGAAATATGTGGATTAAAAACATCAAAAACTGCTTCAAGTTCCCTAGTTTCCCAAAGAAAGAAACGTCATGTTCCCTGGCATTTAAAAAAATAACAAAAAACTCCATACTAGTATGACTCTTACCTGCGTGACTTCCTCCTGACGATGGCCATTGGATAGCTGCATTTGTGTTTTATCTTTAATACCATTGGACGTAGCACGTGTTGAAAAACTGATTTTATTTTCGTTATCAACCATGTCATCTCGATGAATAGTACCATTTTTATGTATAGAATCATATAATTTGTCATTTTTTGGAGTTGCTGTGTTTCTTTTCTTATTTTTCTTCTTTTTGTCCATTCTGCGAATTAGGAATATTCCCATAATAATAGCACCGGACAGTATAACAGTTACACATACAATAACAACAACTATCAAGGCATTGTCTTTTTCTGGCTCTTTACGTGGTAAGACCAGTGGTGTGTTCGATGAAATAATAATCGTTAAGTTTTGTCGATCTTTTCTTTTTGGAGCACCGCTGTCTTCTACTTCGACTGTAAAGGTATGTGATTTCATGTCGTTTGAAGATAATGCCCTTGCAAGGGTTATCTCTCCTGTTTTGGGATTGATCCTAAAAGTGTTCAGCACATCATGTTGTAGTATAGAGAATGTCAAAACGGCGTTATCGCCTGTATCATTATCATTTGCTACTACGTATGTGATCACAGAATTTGTCGGTTTTTCGTAAACCATTTGTACGGTTCCATTTTCCGCAGTCGGAAATTTAATAACCGGATCGTTGTCGTTTTCGTCAACTACAAACACCGTCACGTGAGCTGTAGAATTTAATGATGGATTCCCTCCATCATATGCAATGACATTGAAGCTATATCCATGGGGTCGTGCCTCCCTATCAAGTGTCAGGCTTGTAAAAATTGATCCGTCTGTTAAAACTTTAATTGCTTCAATTTCAGGTTCAGCTACAAAATTAACTAGCGCGTTTTTGCCGATATCAAAGTCATGAGCAATGACCTCCCCTACATAATACCCTGGTTCTTCATTTTCTTTGGCGTGCATAACATAAACAGACTTGTTAAATTTTGGTGGGTTGTCATTCACATCAGTTAAGTTAACGGTTACTACAGCAGTTCCAGTTAAAGAAGGCGAACCCTTATCTTTGGAAAGAACACGAAATTCCATATATGGGACCTTCTCACGATCTAAAATAAAATTTGCATGAATATTACCAGTTTCTGGATCAATTTTAAAGTCATGAGCTGATGGTTCGACAGAGTAAACAATTTCAGCATTTTTCCCTATATCGAGGTCAAGGGCCGATACTTGGACAATAGAGGCACCAACGAAATTGTTTTCTGAAATAACGACTTCGTACTTGTAACTTTGAAAGGTTGGACGATGGTCATTTTCATCTAGAACCTTCACGTTGAATTCAGCAGTACTATTTTTGGCTGGTGATCCAGCATCTTCACATACTATTTTCACTTTGTAGATTTCATTTTTTTCACGATCTAACGATTTCGACACTACAACTTTGTATTCGTTTTCCTCTCCAGTGATTTTCTCAAGTCTGAAAACATCATGTTGAATTGAACAGGTTACCTCGCCATTTTTGTCAGTATCATCATCAGACACTGCAATATGCGCAACTGCCGCGCCGACGCTGGCATTTTCCGATATTTTAGCCATATCTGTGTTGGAAAGTAGGTTGACGTTTATAACAGGAGCGTCATTTCCAGAATCGAGAACCGTAACAAAGATGGTAGCCTGAGTCATTAGAGGGATGGTGGCGCCATCATTTGCTTCTACAATGATTTTGTATGGTTCTCCTGGAGTGTACACTAAAGGTTTTAACGTAAAAATACTACCAGTAGATCTATTGACTGCAAATATCTGTTTGATGTTGTCTGATTGATGTGGACTAAGTTTGTATGTGACCATGCCGTTTTCGTTCAGGTCAGGGTCAGTGGCCATGACATTGAAAACAGTATTACCAACTGTTGTATCTTCTCTAACGCTTATGCTATACGTCGATTGGTTAAATGACGGTGGATTATCATTAATATCCGTTATAATGACGTTTAAATGAAGAGTGCCTGTAAATTTAGGGTTGCCACCGTCTTCAGCAATTATTTGCAACTGGTATCCATCGACTGTTTCCCTATCTAGTTTCTTACTTACAACTAAACTGACAGAAGAACTGCCATCAACGTATTTCACAAAATTTAGTGTAAAAGGAGTTTCTTCAGGCTTAAGGAAATATTTCTGAACAGAATTATCTCCACTGTCGATGTCGACAGCTCCGACAATAGGAGACGACGACCCAACAACAAAAGCTTCGGAAAGTTCTAATGACATACTACTTTCAGGAAACTTGGGTTCATGATCGTTTATATCGGTTATTGTAATTTTGACTTTAATTTTCTTGAAGAAAGTTCCTACTATCGATTGAGCCACTATATCTATAGGTAATTCACATGAGGTTGAAAATTCACATTCCTGTAGAGATTCCCTGTCTAGTCTTTTACTAATATATAGAGAACTCGTACGCTCATTGACATTAAAATAAGAAGCATACGTACCATCTAATATCGTATATTTCATATTATTCCGTTCAGAAACGTTTAAACTTTGGTTTAAGGAAGAATCATTCGCTACATTTCCGATATAAGAACTTATATTGCCTTCCTCTGGAATTATATAACGTAGTTCCAATGATAAAACATGCGAAACGAAACAACACACAACAGTATACGTAATTACAAATTTCTCCATTCTCATTTTAGTTCTCAGAATCTCGGTTATTTCACAAAATATGCATTTTTCTTGTTTTTTCTTCTTAACGTTAGTTCCACATGAGTTGTCTAAATTTTGTCATAAAATTAATCCACTTTTTCTGACTAAACTTTCCATGTAGGCCTGAAATAATAAAGATATACAAATATTGATGTAAACTTAGCAATATAACATAGTTGACGATCTTGTATAAAACATGTTAATCCTCACTATATAATAAACTTTCACTTGTATTGCTTTACCTTGTCATTTTGTTTACAGTGTTAATGTGTGGTACCAACTAATCCCCTCCTTCTTAACAGGTAAAAATCATACCGTTTGCATACATTTTCATTTTCATATTTTCACCTGGAATTACTATCTGTGTTAAAGTCCCGCCCCTAATTAACGATATTGACCAATCGTTGATGGGCTATCAGGTGAAAATCAATAACTGACAGTTATACATTTAATTGATTTTTGAGTATTTCTTCCTATTTTCTAAAAGAAATTTATATGACAGGATAGAACATTGAATTTAATTATTTTAACACCTTGGGACAAATTGTCTGTTTGTGTTGAAACGAATTTCACATCTAAATAGTGTTACCAAATTAATGATAAGACAGATTCTGAATTTATAAACTTTATAATAAAGAAACAATTTAATGAAGACATCATTAATTCTCTTATATTCTCTGTTATATTATACAAGATACACTAATATTTCCATGCATGATAAAATAATGTAAATATTACACACACGTACACACTGAAGCCGTTTAAATGTAAAAACTCAATAATTTTGAAATCACTATTTAAGTCAGAGAAAAACAAAAAATGCAATATGAATATACAGGACAAATATATATTATTAGTCTACTTCCATGGATATACTTAACCATTAAAACGTTGAATAGAATAAAAGTGCATAATTTAAAGTGATTTTAAAAATCAATTATAAAGCCAAGACTCGTGTTAACTTGAAACTTGATATCTATAATTTAACAATTTTTCTCTAATGTTAAACGTATGTCCATACAATTTATCAATGTTAGTTGTAACTACGCTCTATTATTATCCTGCCCGACCTAGGAGAGAACAATTTCTTTAAATTCATTGAAGATCAAGCTTACGCTAGTTTTTAATGTGTTTAACTAGTCATAATTACTAAATACAGAACCTCAGTCCATCAATTATTTGTCCATTTCGTAATCGCCCCCTCCCCGAAGACACTTACACATATTATTCGATTCAAGGGTTAATTTGAGATTTCTTGTCATTTGAAAAAAAGCATTCATGCTAATAAGAACTTTGCAAATAAAGGTAAATAAAGCTTCAAATCAAAAGCAAATTATAATTCAATCGAGAATGAATCTTACATCTCTTCAATCTTTTTAAAATTGACAACTTTTTAAAGTATAGATATATACTACTTGTATATAATTAGTAATAATTTGAATTTGCGACTTCGACGAATAATGCAAAGTAACCCATTCACTTAAAACACTTAACATGCCCGATTGCAAAATCTATAAATGTAGCAGGTGTGTGAAACTGTCATATTGTACACATGTCTACAAACTTGAATGCCTAACACTGAAATCAGACGACTTGGATACAAATATCAAATGATACTTGTTTTAAAATATCTATTTTGATGATGGAATATATATTTCTTACAGTATTATGTTAAAGTATAAATAATCTGTTGCATTATAAATACATTTACTAAAAATGTATTTAAAAAAGATATTTGCATTTCAAAAACAAGAAACATTATTTCGTTTTATGCATAGAAAGCTATTTCTTTAAAATTATAATTTCTGCGATATATTTTTGAACTTACAATAATCAGGATGAATATTTTATTTATGAAATAATTGATAATAACTTGTTACTATTTTAGTCAGACTCAGTGGATCTTCCATAGTAACACAATGTCTGGATAAACCGAATGAGATTGTAGTTTAAAATGCTTTCTGTGTCAGTTGCGGTGATAATTGACAAGAAGAACTAAGTAATTTTCTATTTTGGGTAAATATCTAATGTAATGACTTAAACATCACCGAACATGCTTATTGCTGCTAAAAACATGAAAAAAACAACTATACAAATTCTCTACATACCTCTCATGTGCATGCAACTTGCTCTGTTTGTATCTTACATATGAAATATATCAAGCTTTTATGAAACCTTGATCGATGTGACTTGACCATATGCCTTAGTTGACATTCCTCAGTTTTATTATAGCCTATCTTTAAGTGGTGAGTATTTATTTTCCCTAAATTCTGAAGCACATTATCACCCTGGCACTTCACCAGGAAAATTTATAAACTTATGGTTTTGATGATGACTTAAATAGAAAATACCGGGGACTTTTCTCAGCGATATTCTTGGTGAAAATGCAAAGTGTTGAATATTTTAAAGACAAGACAATATGAAATATTGCATTGATTAAAATGTATTTATCCTAGTTCGTATACGTGATAGTCTGATCTTACAGTTTACACTTTCATACGTGATAGTCTGATCTTACAGTTAACACTTACATACGTGATAGTCTGATCTTATAGTTAACACTTTCATACGTGGTAGTCTGATCTTACAGTTAACACTTTCATACGTGATAGTCTGATCTTACAGTTTACACTTTCATACGTGGTAGTCTGATCTTACAGTTAACACTTTCATACGTGATAGTCTGATCTTACAGTTAACACTTTCATACGTGGTAGTCTGATCTTACAGTTAACACTTTCATACGTGATAGTCCGAACTTACAGTTAACACTTTCATACGTAGTCTGATCTTACAGTTTTCACTTTCATACGTGATAGTCTGATCTTACAGTTAACACTTTCATACGTAGTCTGATCTTACAGTTTACACTTTCATGCGTGATAGTCTGATCTTACAGTTAACACTTTCATACGTGATAGTCTGATCTTACTGTTCACACTTTCAAATTATTTATTTCATGCTATGCTGTTGCATTCAACAATCTCTTTTTTAATGCACAATTGTACCATGCCAAACATTTTATACTGCGCATGTTTAATACTTTGATGCATCAGAAAACGAAACCTGAGGAAATTGAACTCTATCTTATCAACTAGGGAAAACTTTAAGTACCAATTTGAGTTCTGAAATTTTATTAAACGCAGATGAGAAGATGAACCGTTCAATGCTAATTAGTGTATGATTGCCAATAAAAGGAATGCTATTCAACTAATGGGTCACCAGGATGATCCTTGCATCACTTTTTTTAAGCATTTTTTTCCAGTTTTTGTGAATATCAATGCAATGTTTTACAAAAGCATTAAAAAAAATCTATAGGTTCCGTGAAAGTTCTTTGTTTCGGCATGACGAAAATCATTCTTGATGACTTCATCACAGATACATATAATATTATAAGTACATGTATACATTGTCAGTTACTGTCACTGACTATACTGGGGGGCCAGGGATATATGATGGAAGTATATGAGACAACAATCCCATAAATATTAAGAAATAACCATGTCCAAGGAAGATGCTGGGAACCATCAGAGCTTCATATTGCAAGATTCTTCATCTTGACAGTTACCAAAAGGTTTTCACCGATCATGGGCCAAAATGAAGATCCATAACATACAACAGGATGAATGGAACAGTAAATTTCGATAAAAAAAAACTGAAATAATGACATTTCTGAAGATTATCTAATTACTGTGAAGACTTTTTTTATTTTGAGTATTTCATAATTTTCAAAGATGCACTTTAGAACTGATATTCACCAATACAGTATATTTGATTTCAGTAAATATTTCTTACTGTACATCAAGAAGTCATTAAAGTAATTGGATATCGTGTATTTATCATGCTTTTCAATAACATAAGGTCAAATTACTGAAAGACCCCCTACTAAATTATTGAAAAATTTGCTTTAATTTGCATTATGATTCTAAATATCTTGGTGTAAATGGGATAAACCCAGTCGGGCTAATACTTAAAATAACTATACCAGCAAGGATGTAAATCCAACTGTTTCTGACTTCCTTGGATACTTAAAGTTTAATTCAAGGAGGCACACCACTAAATAGACTTTCTGATTAGTTTAATGTTAAATATGCCAATTATAAAATATCTCAAAAATAAAAACGAATTTCCCAGTGTTGCCATGATGCTCATCTTATATAACATTAAATACTATCAGAGACATATATACACATATGTGTATGTCTCTGTTACTTTTATACAGCAGTCCCATGTTGAAACACAAGATTTTTATGTTCTGTAAGCAGTCGCTACTTCTTTTTTTTTTTATCTTTCTTTGCGAATTGAGAGACGTGTGTACAATTAGATGGTTGATGAATTGAACTCATACAAATCACTAGCACCTATGGAATATTTTAACTCGACCACTATAAAAATCGGTCTAGCTAAATAGTGTACTGCCCACTTCGATTCCTCTGAAGGTATTATTAGAACGTCATTGCTCTACCACACACAGAACATTTCGAGAGTGGTTAAATAATTACTCTTGTATTTTCTTTAGACCAGCAACTATCAAATCTACATTTTACAAGCTCTCGCATATGCTAATTTATTTACCCTAATATCGTTTGTGATGAAACTTTCATGGTTTATTTATATTGATGGTAAATTTTTACATTACTGTATATTTGTTATCGTTTTCTTGTTTTCAGTAATTGGGGGATAACGAATAGTCTTTACTCTACACCAAACGATGATTACCTTCGAAGTTCTTTGGCAAGTGAAAGATAATTTTACGGTTCGATTTACAATTACACACTATTAAGAATTGAAATTGGTAGCAAAATATTCAAGATAGGTATCTTACGTTTACGGTACTCGTAAGCAAAGTGATCAGTTATAGGTGTTAGAACGATGACTACATTTGGATAATACTAATTTGCTTTGTCATATCTTCTTATTGTTGATAACCAACCATGAATAAAATTGTATACTTCCTGCAGTATATTTACTGAACGTCGATTTCAGTCCATTTCTATCTAGACGTAGCTAGTTTTCACATGCAAATGTATACATGCCATCAGAAAATAGATATCTATTAAAATCACATAGAATTCTACAGTTATGTAATTTTTACAATGCAGCACTTCTCAATAATAGTTTGCTAACTATGTATGAACAATGCAATAACTGTCATATCATTGTACCATGTGATCATATTTTCATTATTAACCAATAAATGCCAATATATTCACACTTAAGAACCGACATAATATTTTATTACCTTTGGAAACATCTGATGTGAAGCACACCTTGATACACAGGTGTGAAAATACTTCACGCTGTCAGCTACCTGTTAATTAAATCACAAAACCTTGTTAATTACCTGCCACAATTAACAATATCAGACACATTGAAGAAGGTGTCAATAAATTGATATTGTTCTAGCATAAATCATGATAGTTTCCATTGTAATTTAGTATAATTTCGGAGACGATATTACAAACTTTTCATAATTACTTTATTTTTATTTCAGAAGTATTCAATTGATATATTTACGTTTCAACACGTCTTTAATTGAATAGCAAAATAAAAGGCTTTACAAAAATGTTGTAAAACTAAGTTTTAATGCTTATGCACAAATTTAAAACTGTAACTAGGATATGCGTTAAATTATTTCTTTGTTAATCATCTGATCTTTTTATGATGTGTACATACATACAGCAAACAAAGAAACGAATTTACAAAGGAATATATAATTATTATCTTGCCGCTCTTTACTTAGGGATAGCATTGCTAAATATAAAGAATTCGATTATTTAATTTTATTGCTCCAAATTTCAGTATGTTGTCGTATTTTCTTCAAATATGTTCAATATTTATCAAGATAAATAAATAAACAAAGAGCTTGTCGAACCAACCTAATCTGATAAAAAAGAAAACAGAGTATTTACATTATCCTAGAAACGAAACAATATCCAAGAACGCGACCGAAGCATTAATGGAGAATTACACCTAATACAAGAACAAACATTGATTTCAAACATTTGTCATATTTCCTTGTAATTGCAAGTCAAGCTCAAAACATCCGACACAGAACAGAAAAAAGTATTGTTTAAATCATTTTGAGAATAGTTAACGAGGTTTTTTTTAGAACAGAGAGTCAGATTGTAATACTGTATATATCCAAGGAGTTGTATAGTGAGACTATACAAATCCTTGATATATATATGGTTGACCAGGAACAAAGCTGGAGATGTTGAATATTTAAACGGAATCCAAAGCTTTAAGTTGTTAATGTTTTCATCAGTTCACGACCGTCAACTGACCTTCGAAACAATACACATCATGTAAAGATGGAACTCCTTACTCGCATTCATTAACTATTTACAAATAAAAGCAAAGGTGCATTCTATTGCATTCTACATGTTCTCAATATTGTTTGTATTTATAACAATATCTCAGCACTATACCAGAACTAAAGGTCACAATACATGCAATATAAGAAACTCCAATCTTTTATAAGAGTTTGCTATTCACGCCAGATTCAATTATACACTTTTATTATGTATCATTAGGAGACTCTACTCAATGAAAACAAGATCTATTCAAAGTCTTATTACCAGTGAAATCAATAATGTATTTTTTGTGATTTATTTAAAATGGTTCTCGTTTCATTAATTCGATATAGAAATCTAAGGGTGATTCGAGTACATCTTGTGTAAATAATACACCCATTTCTAGATAAAGGTTAAATATAGTGATAAAGATATGATTAATATCATTCTTATGTTTGTGAATTATTCTTTAAAAACATGGAACATACAGAAACATCCCCAGGTTATTTTCAAATTAGTTTGTTAATTTTTTTTTCATTGAGTTTGTCTGTTTGGAGCTGAATCTTTGATTTTGAAATGTTATCAGTACAAATGAAAAATAGGAATTAAAAGACACAAATTACAACCAGAAACACACCTGAAAGGTCACATACAGTCTCCAACAATAGACAGCAATCATAAAACATAATCAAACAGGAAAGACACATATAAAGGTAATATACGGTCTCCTAAAATAGACATCAACCCTAATACACAATAGAATCATAAATACATCTATAAAGGATAACATAGTTACCGTCTCCAACAATAAACAGCAACCACAAAAACACAATTAAAGCAGAAGGACACATATGAAGGGTAACATACGATCTCCAAAAAATAGACATTAATACCCTAACACAAATAAGAATCAGATAGACACATATGAAGAATATCATACGGTCTTCAAAAATAGTCAGCAACCCAAAAAGATCAAATCAGAGTGACGCTTATATTGAAAGGGTAACATTCGGTCTCAAACTTTCGACATGCAGCAACTCTAAAACAGTAGGAAACCAGAAAGACACTTACAAAGGGCAACATTCGGTCTCAAACACAAACAGCAACTATAAAACAGTAGGAAACCAGAAAGACACTTAGAAAGGATCGCATTCGGTCTCAAACACCGACAGCAACTATAAAACAGTAGGAAACCAGAAAGACACTTACAAAGGGCAACATTCGGTTTCAAACACCGACAGCAACTCTAAAACAGTAGGAAACCAGAAAGACACTTAGAAAGGATAGCATTCGGCCTCAAACACCGACAGCAACTCTAAAACAGTAGGAAACCAGAAAGACATGCACTTACAATGGGCAACATTCGGTCTCAAACAACGACAGCAACTCTAAAACAGTAGGAAACCAGAAAGACACTTTCATAAGAAAACATACGGTCTCAATCTTTCGACAGCAACTCTAAACCGCAATAAAATCAGAAAGACACGTACAACGGATAACCGAAAAAGGCCGATAGTTATGACAGTGACTGAGGAGGGGATAGTATTTCAAAGCTAGGTCAGAAAATATGCGCACCAGCTGTTTGAAGTCAGACACGCACAAAGAGAATGTAAATCTCCTATAACAAGCACTTGCATGCCTTAGCTTTGACGTCCCAAGTCAGACCGTATCTGATTTCGTACCTTTACATGTTTTACATAATTTTTATATGGACGACGCTAACAGCGGTCAGACTGAGGGAGTCTTGTATAAAAAAAAGCCAAGAGAACCAAAAATTACCGCGGATTTAATGGGCCCATAAACAACGTGGACCCATAAACAAAGTCCACAACTTGCAATGACCTGTAGATACTAGTATATGATTCAAAAAAATTGGATTGGACATGGTTGATTTACGGAATAACAAGTTATGTAAAGTCATTACAATTAATCTACCCCATTATCTATTATGTCACCAATACAAACCTTAACTCAAAAAACAAGTAACTGTCCATGTCTTTTAAAAACAAAACATGATTACATGAAAGCGTGGCGACTAATGGTGTATAGAACCGATGGACACACATTTGTTTTTCTAATGCTTTCAAGTTTGTAAAATTTCTTTTGAATAACTGATCCATGTAAACCCTATTCTCATAACTTCATAATAAATGTACGTATTAAACAATTATATATGAAAGCATGTATAAATATATTTGTGATAACCAGACGAAATGTCTCATATATATAAGGATTAACTTATTGAACAATACCAAATATTTTTGTAAGAAGAAAACATTTTGTTTTACCCAATCTACAAAATGAAAGACTAAAATTGTTCAATTCGCATGAGAATTTTCTGTAAAAAAGTATTGTTTTAGTTTTAGATTCAATCACGACTGGTAACTTAAAGGCTTGAAGCAATTGACCAATTATCCTATATGATTAAAACGACAGCAGACTTTTTCAAAAAATCTTCTTTTCTTCTTTAATTATGAATATCTTGTACCTTACGATTGAAATTATATGACTATATGCAGAGACATATAATAAATTTATATGTCTCTGGTCTAACTAAAAATAAAAACTTTTGAGATATTAAGATGAGATTGCATGCCAATAACCAATCTTAACGAATTATTGTTCTCAATGACGTTTTTCTCAGACAAAATCTCTCTATTTTTCTAGTTATTGCACAGATTTCAAGTACTTACGAGAACAAGTGTTACGTTTGTTTTGTGCGAACTCTACCTGATGTCAAAATCAGAAATGTTTGTAAAACTAAATATGTCAAACATATTGCCGCAAAACCCTCCAAAATCTGTACAATCTGCCACCTAATTAGATTTTTATTGGTGTTATTGAATTATCAGTATTTGATCGGTGTTGTGGCAGTCCAAGATTTAAGTGGGACTAATATTTAGACAGAAAATGATTAATGACTTTAACACCTTCGACCCTTATCTCCGTCCCCTACTCAACTCTGAATAACATCTCTCTTGTACTGTGCGGACTAATTACAGATTGATGATACACGCACTTCCCCCTGTTTTAGAGGTACGGCGGTTATCTGTCACATAGTTTTGAATTGTGTTATAAATTGAAAATTAATAAACGAAATTCTTGAACGTATGGGCAAATAATTTCTTTGACATTTGGCCATGCAAAAAAAGGAAAAACAGATATACGTTTTCGCAGGCGCATGAATTATATAGATATTCTAATCAGACAAACAAAACACAAAGTAAAAAAATAACATTTTTGATTCCCAACGTACCTGACCAATGTTACAATCCAGTAACATACGTTTTTAACATGTATAGGACTAATCAGTTAGTAGATGAAAGCTTAGTTTTGGTCTGTTTTCTCCCTTTTACCCCTTCAGGCCTAAACGTTATTTTCAGAGGTAAAAAGTCTAAATCCTCAAGGGTTTCTGGTTAGTTTGTCGTCTGAACGTTTGTTCAAATAACAAACCTCAATTGAAAGAAATACACTCATTTTTAGATTTACATACAAAAAAAGAATTGAAAGATTGTCCATGCAATATCAATATCACTAAATGTTGCTTTCATTAAGGCCTATCTGTTACTTCTACTTTTAGTAAGCGTATACCTAATTATAGGTGTCAAATTTAAACTTAGACTTACCTGTTAAATTTCAAAGGAAAAAACGTTTTTAGGATCGTTATCTTCAGATGGATGTCACCTTAACTTTGTAACTCTTTTGTCCTAGTTTGACATGTATCACAATTTTTTCTATACCCACTAGTTTTCCGGTAATCAAGGTGTTTGTACAAGATATAAGATAAACTGCAATTATTTAGACAAAATGAATAGAAAAAGACGACATGACATTATGTTTTGTAGCTTCAGGGATGTTCCGAACGGACTGCCGCCATCAAAAGAAAAGCGGATGTTTTCCTCATTTATGCAGCGCCAATTACCTTGGTATTTCACGACTGTTTTCTCAGTCAGTTGAATAGAGTATAAAGAAAAGTGAAACGCTGCACAAAATAAATATTTTTCTTTCATTTGTA